GCGATTAGTCTTCGGGGTTTCGAAGCATCCTGTTTTGTCATAAAAAGTTTCATTGTGCTCAGCAAAATGAAAGGGAAAGGTCAACTGCCTTCATTGGACATCTTCAGTAATTGACAACATCAGCATCCCCAAATTACTCAGGAAAAAAATTCGAAGAGGTCGTCCTTGATCAGTTTATCGAAGGCATGAACTTAAAGCAACTACAAAAGAAGTTTATAAAACAAGCCCCTGAAAACTCAAAAGCTGCTTATGAAGAAGAGATTTTGGAAGAACAAATATCCATGATCTCGGATTTTGAAGGGGTAAACTGGCATGGAAGTATAGATGTTTACGAGCGAACTGCCCTGGTTAGAAGTACCAAAGAAATGAGCTTTCTCTCAAGATGTAGTAAATGTTCGTGCTGTGAATTCTCCAACAGGCATGCGAAATGATGCGACAATTCGAAGTCAGGTACGTGATACATTCCGTTAATTTTGTGTAGTGATTACGACCCTTTCGCCCCAACATTGTGTGTAGAGTTATTTAATCAACCAGTTACTATTTTGTTGAATTCTAGAGCAGCATGCTCGGTAATCGACAGTGCTGTTGTTGCCAATGATGCGTCTCTGTATGTACGTCTGAATGCATCCAACGGCACTTTGATGGTTTTTAAAAGCAAGACAACATTAGGACGAATCCTAGATCAATCGACTTTCATACATAATTTTTTTGTCGTTCAGAACATACCTTGGGACGTTATTTTAGGCACATGCTTGTTAACTAAATATAAAGGACGTCTGAACTTCATGCGAATAGTATTTAAAACTCGGAATTCTGTCTAGAAACTGAGTAGCTACAGCGGGAAAGACACTCCCAGCTTTAGAATAGTGACTAATGCTAATCAAATTGCGAAAAATGATCTGTCACTTTTACTTGAGAACTGCTCTCTGGAACATGTAAATCTTAAAAAGAATGTTAAATAGGTTTTGTGAAGTATTTGCTAGGGAATCAAAAGTTATCGGACGCACGAGGGCTATGTTTTATCGGTCGACACTGGAAATGTAAAACCATATAATTAACCCCCATCGGACATCACATTCACTGCAGAAATCCCCGAATCACATAACAAGACAAGTGCCATCTTGGAATCCTGAAGAGAAACGGAAAAGAGGAAGGCTTGTAGTGGCATTGGACAATAGCCACACAATCCACAAAGCTGTGAACACGAGACTACTCAGAAAATAGATATTCAATATTTAACGCGGAGAAATACCTAACAATGGAGAAGGCGCGGAGAATGAATTGAATGGACTGGAGTTGATCGAGTGGCATGGCTCGGCCATGCAGGCGTGGTCTCTATTCATATTAAATATATTGTTCCTTCTCTAACTTAACCTTGTCCTTCATCATGTATTGGTAATTGATACGATACAGTGAGTTGGCGTAGTCGATGGTGTGACTTCCACGTAAGATCTTATAGATTAGGCAGTTATATCATGACGAATCTACAAATTTAGGATTAGGTCTATTATTAGAGCAGTACTAATATCGTAGTAGACCATAATCCTACATTGGTGAGCCCAACTAAAGAAACGCAACCTATTATTATTAATCCTTATTTCCACTTCAACTTTCTCGATCGATTTTATATTTATGTTAACCCTGTATTCCAATAGTCCTCTGATTAATGCTCACATGCATTATCGTGATGTTATATTGATTAGTCCTCATGACAAACTAGCTCAATCGATAATAAAAACTGGTCGTCTATATTAACTAATTAGCTTTGATGATTTGTTAACAAGCTGTAATAGCATTTACATGCTTCAGCGACATAGTCTTGTTTAAACATCAAGCTCTAGCAAATATGACCTGTAAATAGCGTAAATATACATTGACTAACAATGCGATCAAGGACTAAATAGTTATCTGGATCTAATTCTCAGTGTTCCTTCGCTTAACACCTCATCGTGTTTTAAACGATGCACTATCCTGTAATATCTTTTCTTCCGACCACTGCCTGCCTAATTTCATATTCTCGAGTTCCATTGCCAAACAACGAGGATGACTACTCCAAAAACATACGGTGAGTTCCAGCTATAAGTTTTCTGCAATCATAAGTTCATTTTAGATGGCACACACACAATTATCTGGATTCTTTCGATTGTTCTGATCAGAGCGAGTCCCAAAGACCTCAACAGCATCAAGCACCCTGGAAGTGATTGCCATACTGTATGTTTTATTCTGGATGCTTTTGGATCATTACTACTCCTCACGAATGGCGTTATATATGTCGTCCACTGAATAATCTAATTTTCAAAAATAATCCAGGCGAGTTCAACTATTTTACTTAATGATTTTTTGTACTTAACATATATATGTTTTCCAGTTACTTTTGCCATAAATTTGTAAGTGTCCCTAGGTTAAATGCAGTAACTTCTTATGGAATGTTTATAACGCGTCATATTCCTGCCTGAAGTTTCACAAGCAGTCTTAACTTGGAATTTATTTTCTGATCATGTTCATTATTTTTAAATTGTCATATACGTCAACAACCTGCTTGTCAACCTGGCCCGCACATACGTTACACTATATCTTCATGTCTTCTAAATTTAGGAATCATCTGAATCGCCTTTAACATTTATCAATAAACCCATTATAGTCGTTGTCGCTAATCGTATTTGGCTTTATGGATTGATTTATCATATTAGCAGCCTAAAATGCGAACATAGTTTAGATAATAAGATTAAAAATTTAGGTACTATTAACTGCACTAGTAAAATAACTAAATCCCTAGGTGGCTGTTGGCTAGACAAACGTTTAAAATCAAAACTCCGTAGCCTACTAGAATTAACACTAAACGAATATTTCTGAATTGAAATTTATAATTAAATTAGGCGTCTCGGATTCTTTAACGTTATAAATTTCTGATGATTTCGAATCACCTAAAGCAACAATACCTATTTTTCTACTGACTAATCCTCATTCAACACTATAACTAGTTAAACATAATAGTTTCAGGATATCGTCATAAAGCATTGTCATAACTTGACAATCACGTAATATGACTGATAAAGTTAATGAAACTAGTAACGAAATCGGTCAGCAAATTGACTTATAATTACCATTAAATGGTGTTGTTTTCTTGGTATCTTCATCCATCACAGATGATTACAGTATGTTTCTCTATCAGTTGCTCATTCAGTAAATATCTCAAAACCTTGTCAGTCTAATTGATGGTTTAGCGACACAATCATGCATGCAAATAATCAGAATAAGCAGTCGAGCAAATCTCCTGCAAACTGAAAACATCAATGTCGAATTTACCCCAACACTGACTAAGGTTCAAGCCATTATCATAGACATGAGTTGGGAGTGTACTCCCCTTGGTTACAACTTGTGTTCTCCCTGATAATCACATGAGCATCACTCACTATTAATCATCCTGTAAAAACTTATTTAGCTAAATACATTTTGCAGCACCACATCACTTCGTAATATGACCCATAGGCTTAACTGATTTTAATAACTTGTAACCACTATATCTCAATTAAATCGTATTCCGCCTTATGATAAACTGCATACTTGCAACTATCTTGTATGCCCAATCAGCCGGCAAGTATAAATATAAATAAATAGTCTATCGCAGATCAGAACATTGAGTCTAGAGCATGTCTCTTACGAACACACTCATGTTTAACGATTTTTCCTAGCTATCTGTCCAAAATCCATATAATTATCACTCATGTATTTAAATTTTGTTCTGATAACCGTTCATGTGTATTAGTAGTATTACTAAATTCTATCACGGTCAAGTAAAAATGAGGTTGA